TGTAGTAGACGTTTTGCACTATTATCTTCTCCTCTCCTCACATATGGATCCAAAGAAGCAAAGAAGATTTGGTCCATACTGACAATATTCCCCTTCACAGGCCGTTGGTGGTCCATCAGGCATAAGTAAGGACTTTGTTTTGGTAGCTCTCTTTTTTTAAAGGTTTTTTTCTTAAGATTTACCACTATATTTTGAACTTTGTTCACAATTAGCTGTACTATAGTCCGCTTTCGCGCAATCTTTATTTGTCTTGTCTTTTATATATATGTGTGTAGAGATAGAGATAGAGATATATGCATACATCCCAGCAAACACCAACACTACAAACACACATCCCTTGCAATCAAACACCACAATTATATACAAACATACAGTGAGGGAGAGAAAAACATATTTGATCCCCTGCTGATTTTGAACGTTTTCCCACTGGCAAAGAAATTATCAGTCTATAATTTTAACGGTAGATGTATTTTAACAGTTAGAGCCAGAATCACAACAACAACAAAAATCCTGAAAACCGCAGGTCAAAAAAGTGCATGTCAATGAGTGAAATAAGTATTTGATCCCCTATCAGCAAAATTTCTGGCTCCCAGGTGTCTTTTATACAGTTAACCTTAGATTAGGAGCACTCTTTTAAAGGGAGTGCTCCTAATCTCAGCTTGTTACCTGTATAAAAGACAAATGTCCACAGAAGCAATCAAATTCCAAACTCTTCACAATAGGCAAGACCAAAGAGCTGTCCAAGGATGTCAGGGACAAGATTGTAGACCTACAGAAGACTGGAATGGGCTACAATATCATCGCCAAGCAGCTTGGTGAGAAAGTAAAAACAGTTGGTAAGATTATTCGCAAATGGAAGAATCACAAAATAACTGTCAGTCTCCCTTGGTCTGGTGCTCCATGCAAGTTCTCACCTTGTGGAGCTTCCATGATCATGAAAACAGTAAGGAATCAGCCCAGAACTACATGGAAGGATTTTGTTAATGATCTCAAGGCAGCTGGGACCATAGTCATCAAGAACACAATTGGTAACACTACGCTGTGAAGGACTGAAATCCTGCAGTGCCCACAAGGTCCCCCTTCTCAAGAAAGCCCATGTAGAGGCCGGTCTGAAATTTGCCAATTAACATCTAAATGATTCAGAGGAGAACAGTGTGAAAGTGTTGTGGTCAGATGAGACCAAAATTAAGCTCTTTGGTATCAACTCAACAAGCTGTGTTAGGAGGATAAATGCTGCCTATGAACCCAAGAACACCATCCCCACCGTCCAACATGGAGGTGGAAACATTATGCTTTGGGGGTGTTTTTCTGCTATGGGGACAGGACAACTGCACATCATCAAAGGAACGATGGAGGGGACCATGTTCTGTCAAAACTTGGGTGAGAACCTCCTTCCCTCAGCCAGGGCATTGAAAATGGGTTGTGGATTGGTATTCCAGCATGACAATGACCCAAAACACACAGCCAAGGCAACAAAGGAGTGGCTCAAGAAGAAGCACATCAAGGTCCTGGAGTTGCCTAGCCAGTCTCCAGACATTAATATCATAGAAAATCTATGGAGGGAGCTGAAGGTTCGAGTTGGCAAATGCCAGCCTCGAATTCTTAATGACTTGGAGAGGATCTGCAAAGAGGAGTGGAACAAAATCCCTTCTGAGATGTGTGCAATCCTGGTGGCCAACTACAAGAAATGTCTGACCTCTGATTTCCAACACGGGTTCTGCCACCAAGTACTAAGTTGAAAGGGTCAAATACGTATTTCACTCATTGACATGCAAATCAATTTAAAACTTTTTCGACATGCCTTTTTCTGGATTTCTTTTTTTATTTTTCTGTCTCTCACTGTTAAAATACACATACCATTAAAATTATAGATTGATCATTTCTTTGTCACTGAGCAAACGTAAAAAATCAGCAGGGGATCAAATACTTTTTTCCCTCTTTGTACCTCTTCATTCACATACCAACATTATACAAAAAATGCACTACTGCATTTACCGGCCAACACTACATACAAATACATTCCTGCCTTCAAATGCAAACACTACATAAAAGTACACTACA